GGGGGGGGGGGGGGGGGGGGGGGGGGGTACTCATAGTCGTGCATTCCGTAGTCGTTAGACCATTGACCTCGCATGCCTACAAAGCCGGGACGGAGCACGCCGGGTTCTCACCGGACCAGGCTCTCACATCACCAAGCGCGAAGCGCCGTGAGGTATTTGGCGAGTCGCATGAAGGGTGAACTGCATCCTGCTAAGGGTGTTCGGCATCTTGCGCTTACTTCCTTGCATACGGATGACAGCTACGTATGACTTAATTTATTTTCTGGTGCTTTCACTTCCAGAGACAGTAGTAGGCACTGTGTAACTGCCTCGGGGATGCTTGACCATTTTAACACAACGTGGTGCGATCATCCCCGTTGCGCGGAGTGAGGGTTCTCCACCCCGCACAACATGGTCTACTCGACCACCATTATGGTTACCGCCAAAAAAAAAAACAGAGGTAAAAAAAAAAAAACGGTAACCTGGTTGCCGAGTTCACGAAGTGAATTGGCTTGTTTTACAACGTCGTTGCCAAGCGACGAAAACCCAATCCCGATGGCAAACACCGAAGGGGGGCAATTGACTTCGCATCCCTACAAAGCCGGGACGAGGCAAAGCGGGTTCTCATCGGATCCGGGATTCCGCGTTTTGGGAAGTGCCGCACGGCGAAATTTTGACCGTCACGGACGCCCTGTACGTCCAATCCTCTGAAGCGTCCAGTAGAGAGAACAATCTCACTGGCTGCGACGGTCGTTCATGCTACTCTGTAGTGCGATAATGGTGCCATCAGTACCCTCGAGGGCTAGATGTTCCACTTGACACAGACATCTACGGTCAAGTGCGTACGTGTACGAAAGAGGATGAAAACAGGGTGTTGAGTTACAACGTGTTGCCGTAGAGGTCGAGTGCTTCCGGTTGGCGCTTGCGCCACACGTGGACCATGTCACCGGCGAACAGTTCTTCCGTCCAACAGAGTGCGGTTTACTCGCCCGAAACCCACTCCGAAACACTCCAGTTCAACTTCTTTGTAGTTGGTCGAAATGGGCAGAAAGCTAGCGGAGCCAATCCAGTCATACTTGTTGGCTGATCGAGGTGGTGGGAAAGCTAGCCTGGCCCCGTGTCCGGCCATGCGCGCTTGGGGTCCTAAGAAACACCTGTCTCTTCTGAGCGAGGCTCCAACCCTATTGTGCCCCCACCACACTGAGGAAAGCATACAAGTAGAAATTGATTGATGTAGCGCCGGCCGCCTCGATGCTCAGATTCTTAGGGCGCATTATCTCAAGTTTGTCCAAAATCTGAGCCTCGGTTTCTTACGAACTTGCTTCTCGGGAGCGGGCCGGCACTGCCGTACATCTATCTGTGCTGCGTCAACCCTTCTCTCGAGGGGCCCGACATCGCTTCTTACCGAACATGAGGAGGTTTCTGGGCTCGTTGACGTCGATCATCTTGATGACGGTGAAAAACCTGGGTTGGAGTAAACGGCACAAATAAATATTGTTGTGGGCGCTGATTTGACGTGAACACAAGAAAAAATGCAGACAGAGAGCGCCTGTTGAACTTTGACCTTCTTCTTGACAAACGCATGTGTATGTATCGTTCAGGCATTACAGCTTTGCTGAATCGTACCACTACGCACGCAACCAGGTCGCCGGAAGCGTTGCTCCGAAGCCCAGTGCGTGCATGGAGGATGAATAGAGTTATGTAGAATCCATGGGGTTCGCTTTTTTCGTCTGATTTTCCTTCCGGTCTCGTTCCGGTCCAACACAGTAGTGGGCCCTCATCGACGCCGGTATTATATTTTTGTGCCCGGTGAACTGTCTGGCGCTTTTCCGAGGGACCGGTGCTACTCAACGTACAGAAAAATGACGTGGCGATTCAGTCTGTGCTCAGCAATTTAACCGGCGCTATTTCGGGGGCAGCGGCGCTATACGGGGCCACCACCGGCGTTATTCAACTGGCGTTGTTGAGGGTCCGCTACGGCTGACTGTGTGGGATTTACATGCAGTAAACGTCACATTATTTCCCGCTGTGACCCAGACCGTAACGAAGGGGAGTCGTGGGCAACCTCTGCCTGGTGCCTCCGTCATACCCGTTCCTCGCTCACGAGATGGAGACCGGGAATCAATCGGCTGTAAACCACGGGGGGGACTGCAATCGTTTGTGCCTCCCTCATTCACGAGATGTAGACTGGGAATCAATCGGCTGTCACAGGCTAGCAAAGCATGAACCAGGGGGGGATTGCAATGCCTGGTGCCTCCCTCATTCACGAGATGTAGACTGGAAATCAATCGGCTGTCAAGCGCTAGCAACGTACATGAACCACGGGCGCAGAGGTCCCTGTTTTAGACCGGTATGGTGCAAGGGAAAAGGAAATAAAATAGTCTTAGGGAAAACACCGGCCTTATGTCGGGTACCGAACAAAATTCAGAGTATCAGAAAACTTGAATATTCCATTTGCGGCTAGCGATTTTCACCGGCTTTACACAAGAAAACCGGCCTTGAACGAGTGGCCTTGAATATAGAACTTCTACCACTTGTGACAATACAACCACACTTTCGTCCCGGATGCGAAGCCGTAGCGAGGGGATAACGCAATCTATATCAGCAAGTCGGCTTGGAGAACATAGAAATTCACATAAGACACCTCTACCTGGTTTTGGTGGAGGATGCATTGAAACCCATGGACGTGGCAAGCCGCAGGCCGACAGGCAGCAGGGGAAGCCGCTCATCGTCATCACGGTCGCGGCATGTGGCACGAACCAGCGGGCGGCCGTTGCGCCATGCGAAGGAACCAAACGCACACTAGGCCGATGACGGAACGAACCGCACCATAGATAGGCTGACGCAACGAAACCCACCTTAGGCTGATGACTACCGTCAGAGCTCCGGAAACGTGCGCTGGTGCGAGCAACGGAAGCAGTGGCCACATCACGGTGGTCATGAGGAGCAGTGCCCCTGAATGAGAGGCACAGAGGACGAAGAAAGTTGTTCTTTATCACGAACGAACGTGTTTCGGTTTGGTTTGGGGTTCACCGGCGGCGGAGTTTTCGCAGCATTGACAAACATACCCATTACCCTACCCCGGGCACTAGGGTATCTACGAATCACCCAGGCATTTCGCTCGATCCACTCTACTGCTGTATGTACGGAACGAAAATAGACCCAGGTTGCCCTGATGGGATCGCGAAGACTCACCCGTAACAACAGCGCTTAGGCCTGTTTTGCCGCCGGCGAACACGAGGATCATGGACTGCACGAACGCCGCCTGGGTGGTAACGCCCATGAAATTTCCAACCAAGGACATGCACGGTATGGCGCAGGCCATGGAGCGAAACTTGGGGGCAAGAAAAGGATGCAACATGGCACGACATTGGCAAGGCGGGAAAGTTGCGCTGAGTATGTACATACCCGGAGTTCTGGGTCATGAAAAAGCTCACTATTCAAGGCGTTGTTCTACTTCTACTTCGAGACAAGTCACTGGCCGAGTGGGCTCAGGTGCGTGTACTGTCCACGATCTGCCAAAAGAGGTGCATTTACCGGTAATCTGGGGTCACCTTCTTGGTACCTCCGATAGCGTTGGAGAAGTCGACCTCTCTGGTTGACTTCACCTTGGTGCGTACATCCTGGGGAGAGGCCCAAGAGCCATGCAACGCGCGAACAAAGAAGCTTGAGTTTCGAGCCGAATGCTGTAAGCAATACCTATGTTTTCTACAGCCCAATCTCCAAGCCCATGCCCGAAAGATACCGGAAGGGACTGATTCCATGGAAACTCTCGGTAGACCGAGTTGAAACCGCGCATTTGTCCCGGGAAAGCCTGCCATGCTCCCGCCCTCCTCTCCTCCTTCAAAACCTTACCTCTAGGCAAACGGCATCGATCAAGATCAGCAGGATGCTCGAAACGTTGATGTTGACACTGAGGAAAGTCCTGCTAATGTAGAACCAGTACTTCCTCGGTGTTTCCCGCAGCTCGGAAAAGTTTATCGTGCCGAAGGCTCCCATGCCCCAGTTGCTCAGGGGAGGGTGGTCGGCCAGAGAGTAGCCTTGAAACTTGGATCGGTCGAGCACCGCGTAAATCGCGACCGTGATCACCATCGGGACTCCGAGGACGTGCATCCACTTTTTTAATTGTTTCTCTGGGGCTGCCTTGCCGCACGCGGCGGTAATGATGCCGAACCCGACGATCTGTTCACGATTTCAGTCGATCATTCGGCAAAGCAGTGCCAATTTTGTTAGAGCTGCGCACACCGACACGCTTCGAGAGAGAGGTTGGTTGTGGAGCGCAAGCATATATATCCCGTCGAACGATTCCTACCTTCGGAAGGACGCGATTTCCACGCAAGAAGGGAACTGTACCCTATAAAAAAATGTCGCCTTCAACAACAACGCCATCCCGGCGTTTCGCTTCAGCTTGCACAACGTCTGTCCGATAGCTGTGTGGTTGACGGTTGGAGACGCTGAACTACGTCGAAATTTCGTTGCCATGCTCACTTGCTCGCTTTGCATTCATCACTTTCTTTTCTCTCGCCAAGCGGATCAGTGACAACCAACTAATGTTGCCAGCAACGACAGCGATGCCACTACAGGCTCAACTGGCACCACTTTTAACCCTCGCACCACTCACTATTTGCCAGGTGAACGCCTGCAGCGAAAAAGAGTTGTTGACCAAGACGCCGATGTTGCGCATGCCGAGGACGCTGACGAGCACGGATATCCCACACCCGGCTCCGAGCCTCAACGCCGTCGGAATCAAAGACACGAAACTAAGCTTGAGGGCGAGAGCAAAAAACATCGCCGACCCGAAATTCGCAAGGGCTTGCGATGCCAAGTGCCCACCAATGCTGTTGCTGCTCGTGGCCAATCAAGCAGGTGCGGTCGAGGTCCGAATCGGGGTTGTGAGGGCATTTTCGTAGGAGGAAAGGGATGCATCGCCGTCAGGGTCGAGTATTGTATATGTCGGCATCAGTCAAAGGATTTTGCCGAGGCCAGTGTTTACTGCCCTTCGGAAACAAAGGTTCGTGAGTACCATCGGAACTATTCTACTTTGCACCTCAAATAGTTCATGTCAAGTCCTTGGACGCGTACCTCATCAACAGGTGTGGGAAACAGTGGCGATCTCTCCACTGCAATAAAGATCGCTCTGTCTTTATAGTCACCATACCTTGTTTCCGGGGCAGAGTACAGCACCGAAGGTGCCACGATGAACGGCATGTTAAAGAACGCACCGAACGCCATGGTTGATGCTCCGGCGACAAGCAGGAAAGCCTCGAAAGTCGACTTCTGGTCTACGCTTTCGTCGCCCCCCACAAGCAGACTCGCGTCTGCAGGAATTCAGGAGCGGGTATGAGAAACAACAAGCACACGACCAGGAAATGAACATACCGCTGGACTCCAGCTCATCACCGAAACCAAAGCCTGCCCATTGCTTATACTTGGAGTATTTCAGGTAGGTTCGCGTGAGTGCAGATGGATCCAGTCGAAGACTACACGCCTGCAACAATGTCCCCATGTGTGCGGATTTTTCACCCGCTTGGTCTTGCACCCAAAGATCGAGGGTGAGGCGTGAGGCAAGCTCGTCTAATGTCCATCCGTGATTCACCCACACCATACGGCGTGGGTGTTAAAGACTGCTGCCCATCTAGACTATAGTGTACAGAAGCTTGAGGAAAATTGCTTAGTTGCTGGAAGCGTAATAATCCGTAAATTTGTAGTAAGGACCAACGCGTAGAGTTAGGTTGCAAACATGGCTACTACTGTAGACCACAAGACGAGAAGAAGTAGAGCAAGTAGAATAAAAAGCTGTGGATAACTCACAGAGGAAACAAGAACCCCGGGGTTGCGCGCAGTGCAAAAGACTTGATTTTCCCATTTCCCCTGTTGTAGTGGTCTATAATGTCCTGGCGACATTGTAGTCTATTCCGTCACCAGTTTCTCCCATGGTCCCTGTTGCATAGCGAGTGACCCACAACACCATCTACGCCTTCTTCGAGACCATGAAATGAGGTCGAAGCACCCCCCGTCAAAGCTGCACCTAAACCTTGCACTCTACTTCTTGGGCTCCACATCCATCGGTCACATTCTGGCCAGCCGCCCCATTTTGGGGGGCGGCGGGTCAACCCTTGCCCCGATCGTAAGCGATTCATAGTTGGCCCCCCGCCCCACTGCGGGGCGACCGGCCAATCCTTGCCCCGACAAAAAGAGATTGCTTCGTTACAGGTGCTTACGGCAGTTTACCTCTCGCTGGCCAAGGCTAAGAAGTGGCGAATCAATAACGAACAGGTGTCATCAGCTACGGCAATTAAAAAGCAAGTACCCTTGTCCAAGAAACCTCTGCGTCGGTGTTGGCTGTTTTCTTACAGCCGGAATGAGTATGTACTTAGGTTCTACGGCAGAGAGCAAGAAACCCTCGCCTCGGTCATATAGTGACGCACATTCGTGCTGTTGGTTCACAATCTACGAGCAAGAGTGACTACATGGAAGACCGAAGGAAAATGTGGCTCGGTTGTGGCTATTACTAGTGTTGGGGACGCAGTACCGAAGAGAAGAATGGTTGGTCATGGGAATTTCTGTGTTAGTTTTTGGAGAAGCAGTCATATTGTGAAAGGACACACTTGTATGGCGCGCCAAGATGGACAATCAACAAGACATAGCGTACGTACGTATACGGTGCGGAAGCCGTATCATGCGCGCTGTAGACAATACCCAGATCGGCCCTCGATTTAGTGCAGCAGACTCCCGCCACGAACGTGGCCAAACTGCCTGCTTTCGATACCTCCGATGACCTTTGCGAGACCTGGGAGACAGCTGTGACTCAGGTTCACATCCACCCCCGAAATGACTCGGCCGGCAGAAATTCGGGTCGAGACATAGCGGTCTGATGATCTGCACTTCTGATCTGTACAACGGTAGCGCTGCCGTGCCAAGACGTGCCGACACACTGATCTGCACCACCTCGGATCTTGACAAAGATACCGCTGCCGTGCTAAGATCGCGGTCGGCAACGCGGTTCCAAGTCAACGGCGGTTCCAAGTCAACGCGATTCAAGTCTAACACCATCCGTTTACAAAAATACCGCTGCCGTACTAAGATCACGGTCGGCAACGCGGTTCCATGCCAGCCGGGTTCAAGTCTAGTGCCATCCGGCCCCGCCAGGGGGGTGACCCAATGCGAGTGCTCAGAGGGACCGCTGCACGGCGCTACTGCTGTGCACTACAGTTCAACTCTCATACTCAACGTCGGTACATCGCCACTTACAGAACGACAAGGACTGGACCACGGTCTGCCATCCTAGGACGCCGGCGAGGACCTCCTGGGCGATACTTGTCTGCTTGGTCGCGATCTTGAACCGGTTGTCGAGTGCCGTCCTGAGCGGCATTGTAGACTACTGTACATGTAGGCAAGTTGATGTATTTTGGCGTCAACTGCTTGTACAAAAAAAAAACGTGTCTGTTGGTCTGTCACGGGTTTGAGGATAAGAGAGAGCTCTGGAATCTCGCGTCAGCACATGCGATTGTCGTGTGGTTCAAACTGACGAGGCGGCCATACATTCCGATTGCGTGGATTGATCTTCTCTTGCGAATGACGGCGACGTCGCTTGCGCCGACGGTTTCACTTGAGAACCCGTGACATCTTGACGTCAAATCGTTGATTCGTTGGGGTTCGCTACCGGTTCGCTGGGCTGTTAAAAAAAAAAAAACGTCAGCCGTGTGAGGTGTGGAGTGCTGAGCTTGCAAACGTTTACATGCTTGCAGCGTACCGTAGCAGCGCCAGCTGTGGGCTGGTCGTGCTGCCTGTTTTAATTTGCGTCTTGCATCACCCGTGGGCGATACTGCTCCACTCTGCAGGGATCTGCTATAACAATACCGCGATATGGCCATCAACCAAGAAGCCAGTGAACACCGTTCGTTGCAGCATAGTTTAGTATCGGATAGATACGTAGGTGGCACAAAAAATAAGATTAAAAATAAGATAAAAAATAAGGTGGCACCAATAAGGTGGCACGTCAGGCCGAGAATCTTGTACGCACACGCTCCGAAATACTTGTCAAATTCTTGGATTTTGGTTTGGATTACCAGGCGGGACTGTTGTTAGTTAGTGTCGCAGGTAAGAACTAATACTACTGTACGACCCCGGGTTGAGCGCATTTTATTGGTATGGTTGATCCACGGGGCTCGGGGAGTGCTCGCGGCTCGCTTGCTCGCGACCTCCACAACGTCCACACTATCTCCCGCCGCCTGTCTCAGTTGTCTGGGTCTACAATCATCTTCGAACGAAAGAGGTATATACGGAACAGCAACATGGTCTTCTTGAGCTTCGCTCAAAACTCAGTAAGTTAGCGAAGTAAATAGAGCATACTATACAAAGAGTAACAAGCCCTTGCACATGTGCGCCAGTCGGCGTCCTTTCGTCATACGTCGTCAGGCAACAGTTTTCAGAGCGAGGAGCGAATGAACCTTGTTATTTGGTGCATCGGGACAGACCGGAGTACCACCAGTACCCACAATTGACTACCTCGATTCAGTGGAAGTCACGGCATAGTCGCAGCAATGGCCCTACAACAGCCCTCTCACTGATCATCTTCACTGATCATCGGAATGTACTGAAAATAGAGTAGTTGAACTTTCTTTGAAATCTCTGCACGGTGGGACCTTTTCGTTGGTCGGCGTAAAAAAACTTGTGAAAATTGTCTGCGAGAGATGTGAAGATTTCAAACCCCGGTCCTTATTTACACTCAACAGCTCAACATGCCCATTTCCGCAAGACGGACCCCCAACTCTGCCGCCAGCCTGGTGCTGACTGAACCGGTGCTAGCGAAAAAGTGTTGTCTCATCGTTCTCGCCCTTGCGCAGGGTTTGCCGCCATCAGCTTCTCTCGCCACCCCTCGCGCGGGCTACTTTGTGCGCCGCTCAACACACTGGAGAACTACGAATCTCCGACGGAGATTCTACCGACCGATTCGTGATGAGGCCGCCATCAGAATACTGATACATCGCCCGCACTGCAGAGCTATGAAACTTAGCAGTGAGATATTGGTCTCGAAAAACTCAAAACCTTAGAATTTATGCACCAGTCTAGAACCCCCACTAACTATTTAGCGGCCATTCGTAGCTTTACACTCTGAACCAAGAACCCCAGTCTGGGCAAAAACTACAGCTTCTTAAGTGCAGGCGACAAACTTTAACGTCTGCCGGCCGAGGCCAAGGCGACCCTGGAAGGGTCCGCGGAACGGTTCTCACTGACATCCCGTTCGGCGGCAAGACCTGAGATGGATTCATTAGTACGAACGGTCCTCAGCATGACGCACACGCCGCCGTTCCACCGACGGTTCCCTGGAAAGCCCGCCGCTTCTCCTGTGGTGGTGATGGTGGTGGGCGTGGTGGCTCGAGTCCATCCCTCGGGCGGCGGACTTTCGGGAAGAGGCACAAAAACGACGAACGTCAGTCCCATCCGGGGAACGATCCGCGGACCGATTCGCGTGCCCACGCACTGGTTCTTTGACTCCGCCCCTGGCAGCAGCAGCAGCAGCAGCAGCAGCATTGCACCTTTCTCCTCTTCCTTCTCCCTTCGCAATCGGAGCATCTCTCCGGGGGAACGGGGGGCTCTCTCCGGTCCTCCGGCGAAGAAGCCGATGCCGCCGACTTTCGTCGTCTCTTCTCGCGGTGCCGGCGGCGGCGGCGGCGCTGTGCCGCTCTTGGCTGCGGCCGTCGTGACGGCGCTCCGCGCGACGGCCGGAACTTCGACCTCGGTGATGGTATTCGACGGGCGCGACGACGCTAGCTCCGCCTTGGAGGAGGTCAGGGACGTCGAGGGGCTCTTGCTGGGGACGGAAGCCGCTGCCGTGGCGGTGCTCGCCGTCTAGCGGCTGCGAGGCCAAACAGGCGACGCGTGGGATCGACAGGATGCAAGGGTGGTTGGTTGGTTTGACCGTTGTCGTTGGCAAGAGCAGTCCGCCGCGTCAAACGCCTCGGCGACAATACTTACAATGACCGTTGTGGCAGTCAAGCACAGTCGCGTCACGCCCCACGTCTTGGCGAAAACACTTGAGCTATGCCATGACCGTTGGTGTCAAGCGCACGCATTCGCGTCACGCCAAACACCTTGGCGACAACGCTGGACTGCCTAAGCAAAGAAAGAAAATTTGTGCCAGGCAGGGGGCACCCAGACCCTAACGCTGACCCTAACCCCAACCCCAACTTAGCCTACTCTATACTTTATCCAACATGTTTGCGGTTCTTAGCTAACCCTGCGTACACGGACAACACCCCGGTCATACCCTGAAACTTGTCAACGGTCAGCCGTTCCAAGATGCCGGCGTCGGCACAGCACGAAGCAGGATGGATTATAAAAACTTACGCCGCTGACGGGTCGCTATACCCATGTGTGCTGAGGGCATGGTGGGAATTTTCGCTCATGTTCATGGTGATCATCACGGTCTCTTGCCATCTTGCGGGTTTCTGACCACTCGATATATTGATCGATGCCGCTCCGTTTCTGGGAGGGTGAACTAGCCTATAGCCTTTTGAGAAGCAGTGCTGCATCATCCGCAAGAGCGGCACGACACACAGAATCGGAGAACAAGCACGACGAGTTTATTGTTTCCCCACAGAAAAGCATTTCTAACCGCCTGTTAAGAGCACAAGTCAAGAGCAGAAGACGGGCCGAGGAAAAAAAACACCAGAATGAAAAAAACACCCATCGTGCGACTGACCACAGCAGCTCGATGACCGATTCAACCAGACCAACACCTGTACATGTCGTGTGCAGAGCTCACAAGCCAGCAGCAGCAGCGGCAGCAGCAGCGAAAACAAAACCATTCCGCTTCCAACAAACAAATATACAGCAGTGTAGCTGGGGGGAAACGCACGTACCAGTCGTATGTCGGAGCAAGAACACCTCTAGTACAACTTTCCCAAACCTTCCCGTCTCTCCCCTCCACGGGTGCTCTTCAGCACTACCACATGCTATGCACACTACTTTCACGCTTATCTCACCACAAACGCCGCGGTTCTTCGGGTGTTTGCCGACAAAAGATCGATGCGTTTCGCCTGTACGCATCCGACAAAAAACTGCCCTGAGACATCCCCGCTCACCTCCCCACCCCCCGAGGCCATCAGCTCCCGAGTGAGCCCGGCGTACTCCAGCCCGAGCCCCTGAATCCTGAGGCACAGCTGCGCATTCGACTCAAGCAAGGAGTAACACGCCCGATCCAGCTCCCTCAAGGCAGGCCCCGTCTCCACCCAGTGCCGGTGCTCCAAGGTTCGGTCCAGAAAATTCCAAGAATCTTCTCGGCCTCTCCAGGGCTGATGACCCCCGCCGGCGGGAGGTTGCTGCGGCGAGAAGACACCGGGGGGCGGATCGCCCGGACTGCGGCCGTTGGCGCCGAACGATCGTTCTATCGCCGCTTCCGCACTCGCGGCGCGATGCCGGCCTTCGTAGCGATCTGATTGGCCAGCACCCGTTGCCGCTCCGCGGTTCTGATACCGCCCGGCGGTGGCATCGTTTCCGGGGAGGCCGCTGTTGCTCCCGGGAAGTTTCTCGGAAGCTTCGTCGTCGCCGTTCTTTTCGCCGCCGGCGTTCTTGTGCGTCTCTGAGTAGCGGTCGTAGAAGTGGCCTGTTCGCCTGATGAGGTCCGAAGCCTCAGCGACGATGCGCTCCAGCTTCGATGCCTGGTGAGAAGAACCGGGGGGTATGTATTCTGTGAACTCCCAAAACCATCTGGGCATCAGGATATAAGGACCGCCTACGCAGGATTTTAAGAGTATCTGAGAAAATGAATATGGAGTGGGCACGCAGACCCTATCCCTAACCCTAACCCCAAAGCACGGATTGAATACTTTATCCCAGATGTTTGCCTAATCAATTTTGCTGCGTAGACTGTTGGGAGATAAACAACTGCGTCCGCGATTCGAAGGAGGTCGATGACGACCTTGGGCGCATCGATTTGCTTCACCGGAAAGTACGAAGCTTTTCCTTGTTTCATGCTTACAAAAACAAACTACCACTACGAACGGCAACAATAACAACAACAACAACGACGGCAACTCGGAATTTCGCGGCAGGTTGGCGATGAACTTTCCACGCATCGATCTTCACGGGAGATTACTGAGCTTCACCTTCTTCGCGCCGATACGACAATAATAAATCTACTAACACAGCAAACAACATCGACAACGACAACTCGGGATTTCGCAACCCAGGTTGATGATCAACTTTCCCGGGCATGGCACCTCTCTCCACGGGCGGGAGGTGAACGACAACAACGCTACTAGAAAAGCGACAACAACCACAGCAAAAAAAACAACAACGACAAACAACAAGACAGCGACAATGACGACGATCACCACGACGAAGGCGTCCAACCCCTCAAACAACAATGAAGCCAAGATGGTCCACAACAAGCACCCGAGCGTGGCGTTGCACAACCAACCGTTAACATCACCGATAAAGCTCTAGAACGACCGAGACAGACCCCTCCTCACGCTCGCGTATCTAGGAGTTAAAGCTCCTTGACAACCCACTCCATGTATTGTTAGGCACTGTACTTTCGTTTCCACCTATTTGAGGAGGGTGGTTGCGATTCCCACAGCACAACTGACTGTAGCGGCCGAAGCCGACGGACGAACCACGACATACACGGCGAACAAGAGCGTCCAATCCCTCCTATCCCCGAAAAAACATTAAAAATACGTAGAAAACAAAATTTCGCTGCACCTGCAGCCCCAAAGCTGACGAAGGGTCGTCCCCGTCCGATGACGACCCCCGTTCTAGGACCGATCCGCGGAACGGTCCTGTTCCCGCAGGATCCCCGCGATGCGGCGACATCTGAATTCCCAAAAAAGGTCGAGATCGGCGGAACCCGGGGTCAGTTGTCAACTTGCCTGCGGAAGAGGCGGAGAGGTGGCACCTGGTGCGATGGTTGTATGAAATGATTTTTTCGTCGGTTTTCTCTTTTGTGATGTCGATGTCACTGACCCCGGTGCGGAAGCTGAATGATAGCATGACGATTTTTTTTTGTTTTGCGCACCCCGGCGTCATATCGCCGACCGGTGCCATCTGTTCGAAGGGTGTCTGCCATATCTCTCCCTTTTACGGAAGTTGTGGCATACCCGCCCCGTGACAACTCCCGTAGATACGTTTCGCCGAGGCCTTTTTCTAAGAGGTGAATCGCGTGCGTCGTTTCACAAAGCATTGTCGTGCCTGCTGCTGCTTGCTGCTGCTGCTGCTGTTCGTTGCCAACGCATTCACCGCTGTTTTCAAAGAACGTTTGTGCTGGGTGCTACACAGTGCTACTGGTGGTGGTGGTGCTACGGTCGAAACTTCAAAACGACTGAGCTATGTTCGGTACGGCCTACCGCATACTAGTTAAGAAAACATCGAAAACCGTGTAGGGAAGTCCGACATAACATAGATTTGTTTTTTGGGGGAATTCGACTGTACCGAAAATATTTTATCTATAAGAATATCCGACATAGCATCAACAGAGGTTGAGCGAAATCCGGGGGCGATAATTTCGCCGACCACCCAGTCCAAACCAGGGCATAACAGGAGAGGACCTCGTGACAGCTCTCGACTACAGCAGTATACTCTGTCTTAGGGTTAGGGCTACGGTTAATGAAGTACATCTTACCGTATGCGACACAAGATAACACACCCCCTGGCCGATTTTCAAAGCTCGATTACTCCACGACGAAGAGGATGCATAGACGAAACGATACGCCTTCGGAGAGCTCTCGACCAGACGGCCCCAACGCCGCTGTTTTCGGCGCTGCGCCCCTTTCGGTTGTTGATAAATCGAGCTTCGACGATCGGTCAAGGGGGTGTGGTATCCTGTGTCATATACGGTAAGCTTCAACGTCGGTACGGTACAGGAACAGTACACACTGCGCAATACTCTGGCGGGATCAGCCGCACTCCTTCAATTGCTTTTGCCACCCCCTTGTGACGCTACCGCCGCTTCATTACGGCAACATTACAACTTGACCAAATAAGACGATTGTCGACAGATTTATCATTTCCTCCTTCTGGTTCGTCGAGGTTCGTTGTGCTCTTCGCGTCGACAAACACGCCAGCCACGTGAGCTGTTCGAGCTTGGGAAACGTCACTGATGGCAACCGGCAGCTGATTCATACCAGATGTCGACACATGTTTTACTTTCACCTTGGCACCACGCTAACCCTACACACTCTAATGAGCCCGCTCCGGAGGCGTGCGATGAAAACAAAGCTAAGGTTCATTTGATCACAAGGGGCGGGGGGGGTGAAAAAAGTCCCCCATTGCGGAAAAGCCCTCTCACCTCGCCGAGGAGACCCTGCGTCTCCCGGACTTCTCGCAGCACAGCTTCGCCCATCGCGTTTTCTTCCCGCCTGGCCCTCCTTTCTTCCTCCAGCAGGCAGGTCAACCTTGCGAGGAGAGACGGTGATTAGCGTCAACACATCCGACACCGGAGCGACCAAACAAAGCGAAGAGACGACGTGCTGCGCAAAGAAGCGTTGGCCGAAGCGGGGGAGTCGAATCGAGGCTTCCACCGTAAGCGAAAAAACAAACTCATGACACTTGTTTTTGCGGTAAGGGTTCGCGATGTTTTCCTCCTCCTCCTCCTCCTCCTCCTCCTCCTCCTCCTCCTCCTCACTA